TAGATCAAATAGAGCATATCAACTAAGTACTCAAAGAATTATCTGTTGTTCCTATTGTAACATCTATACAGAATTTGATTGATCCACTTTCCATATCACCACATAAATAAGATCCAACTCACCAAACGCTCCCATTCATAAATTATTCACCAATCAAAATGAAGTAACTAGAGTTATAGAAAGAAACATGGATGAATCTTAGTAACAAAATGTTGAGTGAAAATGGCCAGTGGAAGAAGACCACATGTAGTATGATATCCTTTTTTTTTTTTTAATTTTTTTTTCAACGTTTATTTATTTTTTGGACAGAGAGAGACAGAACATGAACGGGGGAGGGGGAGAGAGAGAGGGAGACACAGAATCGGAAACAGGCTCCAGGCTCTGAGCCATCAGCCCAGAGCCCGACGCGGGGCTCAAACTCACGGACCGCGAGATCGTGACCTGGCTGAAGTCGGACGCTTAACCGACTGCGCCACCCAGGCGCCCCTGTATGATATCCTTTTTTAGACTGTTTAAATACAATTAAAATTAACTTGTGATGACAATAATGGAAAAGTACAGAACTTAGGACAACGATTACCTCTGGGAGGAAAACAGAGAGAAAAGGAGCACATAGATCTAAATCATTGGTAATCTTCCAGTTCAGTGGTTCTCAAACTTGAATCTTCATCAGAATCACCTGGAGAGCTCATTAAAACCTAGGCTGCTGGTTTCCACCCCCAGAATCGGTGGAAGGGTTTGTTTGGGTGTGGGGCCTAAAACATGTGTTTCTAACAAAGTCCCAGGTGCTGCTAATGCTGTTCTTCTGGGACCACACATAGATAACCACACCTAGTTCTTAGGTTGGGTTGTGGGTTCACTGGTGTTGCACTGCATTTTGTTATGAAATGAATATAGTATTTAAATTAAATGGAAAAAAAAAAGATAGTCATAGACCAAAGCAAAGATGAGAGTGTTTCATGAAGTAAGGATTAATATTTTTATTTATTTTTTTCAAAGTTTATTTATTTTTGGGACAGAGAGAGACAGAGCATGAACGGGGGAGGGGGAGAGAGAGAGGGAGACACAGAATCGGAAACAGGCTCCAGGCTCTGAGCCATCAGCCCAGAGCCTGACACGGGGCTCGAACTCACGGACCGCGAGATCGTGACCTGGCTGAAGTCGGACGCCCAACCGACTGCGCCACGTAGGCGCCCCTCAGCAAGGATTAATATTAATCCAGTTTGGGCTCCAGAAGCATTCACCCAAAAAGAGGTAGAGTTCCACCAGTAAACACAAACTTGGCAAAACACTGCTTTAGAAGTGTTGCTAACTACTTCGAGAAATAAAGTTGAAGGTTGACTCTTCCTTATCAGTGACAACAGCCTGCATTTCACTTCTCTGGATCTCAATAATCTTTGGCACATAAGATATCTACATCCTTGGTTGATTTAAGATTGTGTTTAGAGAAAACATTTCTCTTACTTTGCATGTTCTTACTCTTCCCTCAAGTGCTCTAGGTAATTATTTTTCTTACTTTCTACCTCCCTCTTCCAGATTTATAGTGTCTAGCTGCTAGGTTCTGAGATAAAATTTAGATATTTCAGATCTCTGCATTGAGCAGGGCATATGTAAAGCGCATACTGTTGTGTCCAGCAACGTGCCGGCCACTGACTGGGCTTGAGAAATGCCTGAACATAAAATTCTTGCCTCACAAGCAAGTCAGCCTAGAGAGGAAAAGAGATCCACAAATATAAAATTACAACCCAAAGCAAGGCGCATAGGACGTCAGAGAAAGATTTATCTGCTTTCAGAACCTCTCCTAAACCCAGCTCCTTTAAGCTTTCTCACGCGCTTCCACTTTCACAGCCCCAACGTCCTACGCGGGCGCAAAGAGGAGGCGCGGGCGGGGCGGGAGAGGGCCGGCGTTGCAGACCCCACCTCATTGGCTTTCCGGCCGGCCGGAAGCGGCGGTGCACATCGGCTGCGCATGCGCTCCTCACACGTGCTTCCAGAACGCCCCCTCCGCTGCCGCGGCTAGGCCGGCATCATGGTGCAGATTTCTGCCCTGCGGCTGCTAAGACGGCCAGGGACGAGAGGAGTCTCGCTCCTGGAGTACTCTACCCCCCGCCACTACAGTTCGGCCCCTCTCCGTGCCCGCGACGATGCTCGCGACGCGCGCGCTTTCTTCACGACACCCATTTTCTACGTGAACGCGGCGCCGCACATCGGGCACCTGTACTCGGCGCTACTGGCAGACGCCTTGTGCCGCCACCGTCGCCTCCGAGTTCCCAGCGCCGCCGCCACGCGATTCTCCACTGGTACCGACGAGCATGGCCTGAAGATTCAGCAAGCAGCAGCCGCTGCGGGCCTGGCCCCGACCGAGCTGTGCAACCGAGTCTCTGCCCAGTTCCAGCAGCTTTTTCGGGAGGCTGGCATCTCCTCTACCGACTTCATCCGCACCACCGAAGTCCGGCACCGGATCGCTGTGCAGCATTTCTGGGGATTGCTGAAGGCCCGGGGTCTGCTCTATAAGGGTCTCTATGAAGGTTGGTATTGCGCCTCCGAAGAGTGCTTCCTGCCTGAGGCCAAGGTCACCAGGCAGCCGAGTTCCTCGGGGAATTCGTGTCCTGTGTCTTTAGAGAGTGGGCATCCCGTAGTCTGGACCAAGGAAGAAAACTACATTTTCAGGCTTTCTCAGTTCCGAGAGCCTCTTCAGCAGTGGCTGCGGAGCGACCCTCAGGCAATCACCCCAGAGCCATTTCATCACGCAGTTCTTCAGTGGCTAGAGGAGGAGCTGCCAGACCTGTCAGTCTCTCGAAGGAGCAGCCACTTGCATTGGGGCATTCCTGTGCCCGAGGACGACTCGCAGACCATCTACGTATGGCTGGATGCCTTGGTCAACTACCTTACTGTAATTGGCTACCCAAATGCTGAGTTCAAATCTTGGTGGCCAACCACCTCTCATATCATAGGCAAGGACATTCTTAAATTCCACGCTATCTATTGGCCTGCCCTCCTCTTAGGGGCCGGCATGAGCCCACCACACCGCATCTATGTCCACTCACACTGGACGGTCTGTGGCCAAAAGATGTCCAAAAGCTTGGGCAACGTGGTGGATCCCAGGACTTGCCTTGATCGCTATACTGTGGATGGCTTCCGATACTTTCTTCTTCGGCAGGGCGTCCCCAACTGGGACTGTGATTACTATGATGAAAAGGTGGTTAAGTTGCTAGATTCCGAGCTGGCAGATGCTTTGGGAGGCCTCTTGAACCGGTGTACTGCCAATAGAATAAATCCTTCTGGGACCTATCCGGTTTTCTGCACTACCTGCTTTCCCAGTGAGCCAGGGTTGGTGGGGCCATCAGTTCGTGCACAGGCAGAGGACTATGCTTTGGTGAATGCAGTGGCCACTCTGCCCAAGCAGGTAGCCGACCACTATGATAACTTTCAGATCTATAAAGCTCTGGAGGCAGTGTCCAGCTGTGTCCGGCAAACTAATGGCTTTGTCCAAAGGCATGCACCGTGGAAGTTGAACTGGGAGAGCCCAGTGGATGCCCCCTGGCTGGGTACTGTGCTTCATGTAGCCTTGGAATGTTTGCGAGTCTTTGGAACTTTGCTCCAGCCTGTCACCCCAAGCCTAGCTGATAAGCTGCTATCCAGGTTGGGGGTGTCTGCCACAGAGAGGGGCCTTGGAGAGCTCTGTTTCTTGCCTCGATTCTATGGACATCCATGTCCTTTTGAAGGGAGGAGGCTGGGACCTGAAACTGGGCTCTTGTTTCCAAGACTAGACCAGTCTAGGGCCTGGCTGGTAAAAGCCCATAGGACCTAGAAACTTAGTTTTTAAATTGGCTTGTGGTAAAAAAGCAAATGTGTTATTTTCTTATTTTGCGTTTTTAGGAAAATTATGCTAATGTTTTCTAAAGTGTTGCATCATATGAGCACATAAACAGTGTCACTGTGAGGTTTGTAGCCTTTCAGGTGCCTCCCCTCCTAGTCTTCAGTTCTCTGTGCCCATTAACCACTATCCTTTGTACACCAGTGTCTCTAAGATGTCTCCAGGGTCAAAGATGGGTGAGAGACAACTTTGCTGATACTATTCCTTCTCATTGTGCCTCCTTCCAAACCACAGTTAATGTTATTTGCCCAGACTACCTCTTATGGCTTGTTTTCCATTGGCCTGGCCTCTGCTGGGCAAATTAGTGAAGATTGGGGGTTGGAGGCCCCCTACCTCAGCTTTTACGTAGTAGTCCTACTTTGTTATATATGTTGGGTTTCCTATTAAAAATAAACAGGTTTCTTTATTAAGCCTTTAAAAACCAGTGTCCTAGACAAGATGGTTTTTGCCCACGTTTATATTTTCATTTCTTACAACTATGACTCCCTACCTACTCTGTTAATAGTCTGAATAGTTGTGCTTTGTAACATTACACTTCAACCAGTAGATGGCTCTACAGTTTCACGTATTTGATTACCTAACATTGACAGTTCAGAATATTTAGGATAAATTTGTTTTCTGCTAATTTGGCAGAATTTAAAGAAAAATTTTATTGCTTTTCTTAAAATAAGGGAAGACTGTAACCACTGCTGTTTTACATAAAGCAATAAAAAAAGATCAGAATCCTGTTTTTTCAAACTAAAAAAGGACATTTACTCTATTAAACATTTAGTAAGGTAATAAGTAAATGTATCAAATGCGTTTGGACTATCCGTGATAAATTATAAAGCTCTCGAGTTGGTTATGTTAAAAATTTTAAACTTTAATAACAGGTTTACAGGTATGATTTAAAAAATTTGTAAACAGCTCAAAATGGTTATATTTTCTTTTTATTTCTGAATCATAATTTTGTTACCACATACATAATTTACCTTATGTGATCTCTTTTGGCAAATCAGAATCTATAATACAATATAGACATTGTGGAATAGTTATAAATGTTAATACATATACTTTCAAGTACTTTTTACCGATTATTTCTTTTGCTGTCTTAAGTTATTAAAGTTTAAAAGTCTGTGAGTACCTTATTCAGATCTGTTCTGTTGAATTTGTTGAAGGTGATGGTGAAGGGAGGAAATGATCAATGCTCCAAGAATCTCAAACTGGATTTAGGGATCTCTCCAAGGCTCCATAAGAGAATATCACAGAGAAGATGTTAAGGTATCAATTTATTCAATGACTACAGCACAGTAAGCCAGCGTAATACTTCATAGGTGATTGGATAGCTAGGCCAAAGTTTAAAATGAGAACTTGCCTTGAAATACTCATTCTCAGCATGGTAGCAAGCAGAGAGAGCTCACTATGAAGTCAACTATTGTGCTGGTAGTTCCCCCAGATTTATTCTAGGTGCTACTATTCAGCTCCAGTTTCTGTTTATTAATCAATATGGTGAGAGATTTCTGGTTGCTTGGAAACATTGCTTAGAAAAGAATGCTTGAAGGCATTCTAAAGGTGGAAGGACCATTTCTACAAATGTTCCTTCAGACCCTCCTTTTCATAATGGAATCCTGGGCTTTCCACATGACATAGTCTAGCTATCTTCTGGGATTGGTAGGGCAGATTACTGGGGTGTAGGAGGGGTATAATCTCTCCTAGGGCTGGATAGAGCAGAGTGGTAAAAGAAATGAGATGTGTTTATATGAATGAACAAAAACAGACTTGGAAAACCAGTGGTATGATAACCTCTTCTGTTGAAGTGCCTTGATAGCAATCTTTCTGTTCCTATTATGAAAGGACATTCACTTCCACTTGAATGATCTTTCCTATGGCCTAGTGCTGGTCAATACACTGGATCTTGACTTGCTGGGTGTTAATGGAGTTCCTTTTGTGCAGCTTGTCATTTATAGAGGCACTTAACTGGCTACCAGAATATTTATGGTACCAAAGGGCACAAGAAAATAGAGAATCGAAAGAGGAGAGGGCATAATTAGTACAGATACATAATTAATACAGGATACTCTGAAGAAGTGGGGATCTAAGTTACTCTGTGGTAATATGGAAGATGAACCAGTTGGATTCTCTGTCAGGGGCAAGGTATGTAAAACAAGTATCCTTTGGGTACTTAGTTGATGTGTTCAATTTGATCCAACAGTTTAGGAATGGCAAGTGGAGGAAAGGTGAAACTTAAAACTGAAGAGAGGGCATCTTATGCACCCTTTGACAGAACAGAGGTTTCTCCAAAACTACTACCTTGAGGCTCCTAAATATTCATTTTGGGGTTCTTGGGGGCATAGTTGCAGAAGGGGATAGACCAGGTGTTCACAACGTATCATGTTAAAGTAATAACGTAGCTGTCAACTTAGCAGGCTACAGTCCTATCAATGAAGTCATGCAAGAAGTTGTGGTCAATGTATATGTTAGGTGTATCACTGTATATTGGAGAGCCATTCTACAAGTGAACTTAGAGCTTAGGCACCTCAGAAGTCATAAGACCTGTGGCTATATATGGAGATCAAGAATAGGCAGGAAGAACAAATAGATACCATCTCTGATTTCATTGATATCTCAAAGTTATTCTGGAAGTAGGCCTCATTATTTTTCTTAACGACCTATAAGACCCCTATAGGGGCTGAGAAGAGCCGGATAAGTTGAATATTAAGTTGATGCCAAAGTACTCATGAAGGCCTAGGCTGGAACATGGACACAGGTCTTTTTTTGCACAGTTGGACCTGTGGTTGGGGCATAGCTCTTTATTTTTAATTTTTAAGTAAGTTCTACAACCAATGTGGGGTTTGAACTTAAAAGCCCAAGGTCAAGAGTTGCATGCTTTGACTAAGCCAGCCAGGCACTCCAGGAAATAGCTCTTTAGATAGGGGAAGTTCCAAAACTGAAGTAAAGCCAGTAGTTGGTTAGGTTGGGTGGGCCTCCATCTAGGATGCCTTATGATCATGATGTAGCTTGAGTAGCAAGTGGCAGTATGAAGCATTTAGCAGATTACTCCTTGGGCATTATGTAGGGCTGGTTTCTTAGATCTCTGACTGCCCCACCCCTGGTAAGTATGTAGTTGCATTGTTGGCCTACATTAGTGTAACCCGGAGTTATGGGGGAGGCCATGCCTCTTGACTGAGACTTGGTTCATAAAGCTGCTATATGATGATCTAAAATAGTCTCCTGGAGGCAATTCCCCACTATCCATAGTTCTACCAAATATAGAACAACTGTTCTGGTGGGTGAGATCAAGGTTGCTGTAAACGTTGGTGGGTCCTTGCCCTCATCTTTTGCCTGAGTGAATAACATCAGTGGATCTAAAAGGGTGTGGATGTATTGACAGCCATAAGTCTATTTTTGCAGCAAAGGTTTACGAGTTCTGAGAGCTTGGAGGGAGCTCCAGCATAGATTTGGGTAACCAAGAGCACAGGTTAGGGGGATCAGTCTTAGAAGAAAGGCTTTGAGTCCCTTGCGAAATGAAACCAGTATGAAATATGTCATTTCAGCACAACTCAGATGGTCCTGACCCTTCCTCTTACAGGAAGGAGCTTTAGATAGCATTGGTCATCTTTTATCAATAGGAGCACACCAAATTTGGGGGTTAATATTGCTGGAAGGGCCAAACAGTAACAACCAAGCTAATTTAGATTAATTAATGGGGATTTTAACCTTCTTAGAGAATGTCTTATTCTTTTTTTGAGACTGAGGATAAGAGAAGCTCAGCCTAAGCTACTTTCCTCTATCACCAAGAACTACTTTGAGCTGAGGGGAAGGGACTAACCAGTTTAAAGGGGAAATTGCTGCTTTCTCTTAGTTTTTTGGTAGTCCTGGGTTTCCTAGTATAGATCCTCTGAATTATGGGAACCATCTAACAGGGAATAGTTGACCATATTTAAAATACCCTGCTTAAGATTATATCATATTAATCAGTTTCTACTTATATTTTCATGACAAGGGAAGGGAATTGGGAAGAGCTACACACCAGGAGGATCTTCCTATGGCATTGACAACTAGAAATAATATACTTTCTACTGCATCTTTTCATGAATAGCTATTGGGAGTTTTAGCCATACTTGGATCTTCAAAGTAAGGTAAGGCTAAGTACGGAAGTTCCATCCTTGGCTGTTAACTAAATATCATTTGGTTTATGGCACAGACTACTCACCATAGATTTTAAAGTCCACAGCTCCTCACTTAAGAACTGGAAGGTATGAGATGTCAGGATGTTTCAGGAAACCAAGTGTGCCATCTGCAAGAAGAAAATTATAGCTCCAAGGAGAGATGAGCCCTGCCTTCAAGTCATGAAGAATATTTTGGATGAAACATCTGCAGAGGCCTGGAAGACTCACTGGGAATGGATGATACCACCTTTCTTAGTGTATGGTATGGGAAAAATGGTTCTATCCTCCCTATACTACCATTCCTAACGTCATTCATGCCTTGTGCATGTACCCCTCATTAGTTGATAGTCACTGGTTTGTGCGATTTAACATGAAGATGTACTTTCAAAAAGTAGTTTATGACTGATTTATAGATTAGAATTTCTGTTTTCTTAATACATTCAATAAAAATATGACCGACTGCACATTTTTTCTCAAAATATTTTTAAAAATGTAGTAACTTTTATATTGGAAAACATTAAGATAGTTTCAGTAATTTGGCTTTCCTTAAACTAGTCTAGAAGAGTCTGCTGGTTAAAAAGCTATAAATATTAAAAATATAAAGTTAATAAGGATGTTACACATTTTAGGTTAAATCAGTACAATAATACAAATACAATGTATTTCTTTCAAACCACATGAAAAGACATGTTAAAGAAAATTCAATCCAAAAGAAGACAGGAAGGAGAAAAAGGGGCAAAGAAAAATGAAAAATATGGTAAAAGAAAACCCATAATAAGACAGTAGAAATGATTATAATTACAAATATCTCAGAATTGTAATGAACATCAAAGGATAAACCTTCTGTCAAAAGACAGCCATGTTCATTCTTTAAAAAAATTTTCTTTTCAATGTTTATTTATTTTTGAGAGACAGAGCGTGAGTAGGGAAGGGGCAGAGAGGGAGACACAGAATTCAAAGCAGGCTCCAGGCTCTGAGCTGTCAGCACAGAGCCCGATGTGGGGCTCGAACCCACAAACTGTGAGATCATGACCTGGGCCGAAGTCGGATACCCAACTGACTGAGCCACCCAGGTGCCCCAGCAATGTTCATTCTTAATAAAAAGTTAGCTATGTGTAGTTAAAAGGCATATACTTACAAGAGAAAATGAGACATGAAGAAATACTGGGCATATAAATAAACCAAAAGAAAGCTGGTATTGTATTATTAATAGTAGGCAGTCTATATTGAGAGGGGAAACCATTACTGAATATAAAGTGAGGCTTAATATAAAAGGAATAATGCAGCAGCAAGTTATAACAATTAGGAAATTGTATGATCTAACAACATTCTCAAAATATAAAAGGATAAAATTAACAAGAAATGTTCAAGTCTGCAAAAAAACGAAATTGCCATTCATGAGTTCAAAGAAACTAGGCAATGAGAAAGTAAAAACTTACACTACACATCAGCACTTCAGTCTTTAATGCTCACTACCACATGTATCATTGCTAAGTGTAGAAAAATAAAAATTTTATAGCAGGTAAGGTTTTGTGACTCTAAAACCTTGACTTTTTCCATATATGCCTCTGTGAAAATGATGACTTGCTTTTTGAATAGATATGTCACCAAATATACCTGTTCAGGAAGTCCTCTCTTTGGATTATTAAAAGGGGAGAATCCCATGGCTATAATTTTGCCAAAATTTTTCATTGTTAGTTCGGTAATAAGCAAAAGTGAAAGGAGAGAACCAATAGTTCTGTGTTCCTTAATTATGTTCTCTCATTTACTTTTCTCATCAACTCTGAGGTATTTTTGTTTCTCTGTTTAGCTGATGAGAAGTTGAGGCAGAGAGAGATTAAGTAACTTGGCCAAAGTTATAGTTTGTAAAACAGAAGAGCCTAGACTCAGATTTATCTTGATGCCAGAGCCTCAGCACCAACACCACAATCAGTCACTGAGTATATACTGAGGGCAGTGTATTGTGAGGAAGAGGAAGTAGTATAATCAGAACCGAAGATTTGAAGATGAAAAGTCTAAAAAAGACCCCTTAATTGAAATACAGCAATGAGTGTTTCAAGGTGGGGGATTATTCTTGATAACTAGATTATGAAATAGATGAGTGCCAAAATAGAAACTTAGAAAAACTAACTTACCTTTATCATGAAATATTTCTCTCTTGCTTTCAATAGTTCCCTTTATATCCTAAGCCTGCTTATGTGTGCTGGTATAAATTTGTTAAAAATTTTAATAACTCTATAGTCTGTATTTTTTTTCCTTAAGATTATTTTGTTTCTCATTTTCAGAACAGTGTTCCAAATTCTTGAATCCAGTAGTTCTCCTCTAAATGAAAGTATGCTGTCATAAATTTATGAATCTAAGTATTTTGAAATAACATTTTACAAATACTTTAGATAATACATTTATCTCTAAACATGAAAACATATCAATATTCAAAAGTTTTATTTGACTTGACTATTATAGTAACAAAGCCAGAGAATTTTATTCAAGCTCACAAACACTGAAACTTTTTCATTTCATACATACAGTTTTAATATAAATGAACTTATGAAAAGACTCATCTATTTACTAACAATTTAAGTTCTATAAATTTACTGAACATTTATTACTGTATTCTTATGACATCTTTCCTAACAAGCCTGCAGAAATCAGGTTAACTGACTCCACAGTTATTACCAAAGCAAATCCCACTCTAACTAAAATGCTACATATTGAATAATTCCTGGTAAATTATCTCATACATGACAGTCAAGACATGTTCTAACTTCCCCTAATTAGAGATTTTGTTATGAACTGCACAAAATGTCATATTTTACATTTTTAATGAAATGTACCTATTATGTTGGACATGGGCTACACCTTGAAGTGTGATGAAACCCATGTTTATATAGGTCTTTAAGCTATCATCTAAATTGTATTTTTAAAAACGTATAAAAAAGTATTAAGGGCCTTGCTAACTTGGAAGCCATGAACACCTACATCTCTGTTCTATGTTTTAAATAATTTCTTCAAACTATGTTTAAATTCAAGTTACAAAGTCCCAAGATAGCAAGGCATGATGGGTACTTCAGTATTTTTTGCATGGTAGCTTATGACTTATTAACATAATCAGACTGGTACATTATAAAAAATATCCTATATAGCATTTTTCAGATTATCCTTAAAAATCACTTACTAAAGCAATTTATAAAGGCTTCCATAAGGCAAAGAATCTTCAATCCTGGTAAAATGAATTTATTGCATTAACTTTTATATTTAAGTTTCTGTAAAACTTACTTTATGGGAACTCCCTACATTTTTAAAAAGCAAACCTTTTATTCCTGAGTTCAGTTTCATTTATTAATTCATTACTGGAATGTAATTAAATAAGTAACGATGTGTAAAAAGCTTATTTTGGTATTATAGAAGAAAACCGTAAGTACTAAAATGAATTACTGAAACTATGTATGGTTCATTGTGTGAACATTGATGGTTGGATTTTTACACCATTTTAAAATATGGAAGGAGTATTTTTTGCTGAATATAAAGGAAAAATTTTAACGTTCATTATGACACTGTCTGACCTAGAATTAAAAAGTAATCTGACAATTAATAATCCTCAATTAATAATCCTCAAACTAGAAAGATTTTTTTTTAATTTTAATGTTGCCCACATAAAAATCAGCCTTTATTACATAAAAATAAGGTAATTAATTTGAAACAAATTTTAAATAAAACATTTTGGATGTAGCTGATACCATAAAATTAGTTTTCTAGCCTAAGGAGAATATATAGGACTTCTTCTTTTTCCATAATTTATGGAGACCATCTAAAAGTACAGCTATCCATTCAGGGGCACAAAAACCAATATAAATATATAACTGTGTGTAGCCAAGTATAAAAAAATTAGTAAATCAACCTGATCTTAGAAAAGCCAAGGAAAAATAGTGACACTTACTGTTTAACATCTAGAGTAGTGAGAAGGGGACTAGCCAAAGTCAACCAAGTTATCAAAACCCATCATTGGTAAGTCTGTAGAGGTAGATGTTTTAAATATTCAACATGTGAAGGTAGGTTAGGTTTGAGCTCAAGAGTTTTAAACAAGTCATTCTCTAAAGATAGACACATAGTTAGGGCACGGGCATAAAAATCTAACTGGTAAACATAGGATTGTTGCTTAATTCATTTTCATTTTTCCTTTGGCATAGACATTAGGATATTCTATGTGTTCTTTTAACTGAAAGCTATTCTCACAAACAGTTGGATATAGCCTGAATAAAATAATCCTAAGGTTAACGTAGAGTCAGCATTTGAATAATGCAGGAGGAATTTACTTGTATTAGTATCTTTTAAAAATAATTTGTATTGTAGGTCAGCTACTAATAGGGATTTTAGAAGGTTTCTTTTATTTGTGAAAAATATGTTCTGTAAGTGGATATTGTATAGATTTCTTTGCTTTGGTATCAGGTTAAAAAAAGTCCTAAATGGGATTAGCTAGAAACACATTGAGAATATTAAAATCATCTCAAATTGTTGATGTGTACTTTAAAATTTTTATCCTTTAGGTGTTTTCTCCAAAACACGTAAAGGAAAAAAAATCCACGTTTTCGGCAATACTTTATGTTAATTAGCATTTCCTTTCTTTGTTATCATTGGTCATTTCAGAATTATATGAGGCTAAGGAAGAGGGTTTAGTTTCCATACCTTTGTCCATTTTTATATCCTGACTTGCAGGAAAAAGGATCTTGATAGTTAAGAGCTAAAATTTATCTCTTATATGGTATTAAATCTGTTTATGCTATTATTGCTATCTTACATTCTCTATAAAATAAGAGCCAAATATCACAACCTAAGCAAAACAGAATTTTTTTGGGGGGGGTACATTAATGATTTTTGTACCATCTCCATTTTTCTGTAATTTATATCTGGAGAGAAAAATAAAGTAATACAATCTTTATAGAATTGAATGAATGCACTGTGAAAGTACATCAGTACATTTTGGTAAAGAGCACAATACCTAAAATAAATTAACTAAGGAAAAACACTTCAAACAGAAATTTGTTTTTGAAGGAAAATGCGATTACCCTTGGACTCTTGAAATTTACAAAAGTCTTAGAACAAAAATGCCTTGGTATATACTGAATTAGCC